ACAACCCGCCAACACTACACTCGGCAAACAAGCATGGAGAGCCTGACGGAGCTTACCAGAGCGCTCATGCTAGAGCGCACTTCACCAACCAGAACCTACACACGACGGCAGCCCATCATGCGGCTTCGTCCGCTCCAGCCTCCTCAAGCAGGGCCCTCACATAGTCCCCCAGGAGCATCAGCGCTGACACGGCACCGCCAACGATGTCTACAGCTGCAGCCGAGTCTACGCTCGCCGATACTGTCCGCATCACGGCGAGCAGGCGCGGGTCCAACACGGTTCCCGAGGCGGGCGCAGGCTGCACTCGCGTGGACACGACCGCCAGATCTGCTTCAGCCATCGCGCAGCGGTGGAGCGGATCGTGAGGCATCTTGCACGGGCTCACTGAGCTCCGTAGAACGGAGTGTGAGTCCGTCAGCATCTCCACAGCATACCCCATCGCCCTCTGCGCGTGCCAGAGCCGACGAAGCGTGGCGACTGGGACCGCAGTCTCCGCCAGCCGCTCCCTCCCCCGTAGGCGCTCCAGCTGCGCCCTCGGCGGCATCCGCAGCCCACCCGAGTGACGCCGCCCCTGGTCCCCAGGAGGCGAGTCCTCGCCCGTGGACTCCGCCCCCCCCATCTCCGCTGCTTCTGCCCCCCCCTCAACTCCAGTCGGTGACGCCAGCGAACGGCGGGGGGGGACAAAGGGCGCTGTCGCCCGCTCGCCGAACGATGCTGGTGCCACCAACGGCGGTGGGCCACGGGACCATCCTACCACCGACACACCCGGGGGCGTCGGCTGCCAGGGCGGCAGTGTCTCCGCGGACCGCACGTCCAACCGACGCGGATCGAAGGGACCGGCCGAGGGGAGGACTGGCGGAGGAGATGGGAGGGAAGGGACGCCAAGAGGTGCTGGCTTTCGGGGAGCAGGAGAGACGTCACAGTGCGGGGAGGGAACGCCTGCGCCGGCGCCTGAGGAAGGGGGAAACGCACGGGCTGCGAGTGCGCCTGCTAGTACTGCTGGGACGCCAGAAGCTGCGGAGAATACGCCAGAGCCTGCTGGGGTTGGGCGACACTGCGGAACAAGCCCTCGAGAGTCGCCACGGCCCGCCCTAGGCGCCTCTCCGCTGCGGACCCACGGTTACTCCCCCCGCCAGCCCTCCAGCCGACGCGCTGGCCCGAACGCCCGCGCGGCGCCTGCGGAGTCCGGCGCTGCTGCCCCGGCCCCGCCTGTGGGCGGCGCTGAGGCGTCCCTCGGCGAGAGGGATGCTGCTGGCGCGGCGACTGATGCACCTCGCCACACGCCACTGGTTCACGTCCAATTTCCAAGGCGCGCTCAGGGGACTTCTCCTCGTGTCTCTGGGGCGCGGCAGTCCTGCCCCGCGACTGCCCCCGCATCCGCTCGGGAGTCTGTTGGCGAGCCGTCGAGGGGACGAGGAGCCCGCGCTCCCAATCTCGGTTCGACGGTGCTGGAGGACTCGCCCGACCTCGTGGGGACTCGCTGTCCCCAGTACTCTCCAAATCGGCAGAACGCTCCCGCGCTGGTCGCTCCACCCCGAGGAGGCGCGCCGCACTCGGCACCCCCCATGACTCGGCACGTAAGCCGAACGACGACCAGGGCCGCCCCGAGAGGAAACCACGGAGGCGGACGCGGAAGACTCAATACACGGACGGCCGGAGGGCGCGGTCGCGGGGCGGCAAGGCGTGGCAATCTATCCTCCGATGGAGGACCGCTGAACGGATTCCAGCAGGCAGCGAACAGGGCTTTAAGTACCTCGGAACTGCAACGAACAACTGATGAGGAGGAGCGGGCAGACGGAACTTATGTACCAGGGGACGAGGAAGACCCCACGACTGAGACCTCCAGTGAGGAGGAAGACGTCGAAACAAACAGGCGCGCTGGAGGACGAGAGACTGACCCAACTCCCAGATCTAGGGGACGAGGGTCCAGCCGCATGCACAATACTCGGGCACCGCTGGACATGCATCCCCAGGCAGTTCCGCAGTTGTCCCCGGAAGAACTGGCGAATGACCCCTCCCGATTCGCCGTCATCGCCACTTGGGACGTTGCAGTTCTCTGCGACAGTCGCCAACCCCCTCTCTCCCGCCGGTTACCCCCCCAAATCCGTCAACTTTTCGCGCTCGCCCTTCTGACACCCCTCCTTTTCCTCGCCAAACATCCAACCTCCATCGAGGGTTGGATCCTGTTACTTTACCTCCCGCGCCTCACTCTTCGCCTACCCTCACCACGACGTCCTGACTGGCCTGCGACGGAAAGACGACTTCGACAATTTCTCGCAGGCCATTGGGACACACTGTATCAAGCGGCTGCCTCTGCTGTCACCCTGCCACCCCCCCCCCGCCACGTACCTGACACTCTTGGGAAAATATCCCGCGCCGAGGGCTTGGTACGACGAGGCAGTTTGCGACGGGCACTGCTCGCGTTGACTTCGACCCCAGTCAGCAAGTCCACCCCCACGGTCCTGGACGCGCTGAAGTCAAAACACCCCCCTCCGCTTGTCGAAAACCTCACCTGGCCACGGCTTGACGAAAACTGCAGGCCACCGACAGTCGATTTCGCTACGTTCGCGAAGCTCCTCTCTCGCTCCGAAAATGGAGTTGGGGCAGGCCCCTCGGGGATGACCTTCGAGCACCTTCGCGATGCCTCGCTGTCCAACCCCACCGTCGCCACAAATCTTCACAAGCTCGTCCAGCGGCTACTCGCGGGTAACCTGCCGCACGAGGTCAGCCAGCTCGTTACCTCCTCACGCCTCCTGGCCCTTACCAAGCCAGATGGGGGTACCCGCCCCATCGCAATAGGAGAATGTCTCCATCGGCTAGCGGCAAAATCCGCGCTAATCTCCTCCACGCAATCAGCGCAAGACTACTTCCTACCACACCAATACGGGGTAGCCATCAGAAGCGGCGGAGAAACCATTATCCATGCCACCAGGGGCTTCACCTCAGCGCGCCCGAGCTCACTCATCCTACAAGTCGACCTTTCAAACGCCTTTAATAGCGTTGACCGCGCGGCCATCATCCACGCAATCAACACCTCGCCCCTGCGCCCGCTCCTCCCCTTCATACAATTCTCCTATGGAGCACCGTCTCTGCTCTACCTCGACGCCGAGTTCGACAGCCCACCCCTACTCAGCGCGCGGGGAGTTCGCCAAGGGGACCCCATGGGCCCCCTCCTCTTCGCAGCCGCCATCCACCCAGCGCTCCGGACAACCGCCGCGGCCCACCCCGAGGTCCTCTGCCTCGCGTACGCCAACGACATCACCTTCGTCGGCGATCTGGACGCCTGCACCTCGGCGTTCCTCAACTTCACAGCGGCCATGGACCGCATCGGTCTCTCCCACAACCTCGCGAAATGCGCGGCGTGGTCAGCCGAGCACCCTGCACCTGACCGCCTCCCCCCAGGCATTCCTTTCACTATAGAAGGAGTCCGCGTGCTTGGCAGCTTCATAGGCACGGCCGAGGGCACAGCCACCTTCCTCCGCACCCAGCTAGCCCTGCTGGCCGAGCCCCTTGCCACACTGGCCACAATGGACCCTCAGTCGACATCCCTCCTCCTCACACGCTGCGTATCTCGGCGTATCTCATACTTAACCCGCACCACCCCCCTTGACTTCCTACCCCGGGACGTCTGGTCCGACTGGGGTAGGGAGCTCTTCCATACCCTCCTGCGCGCCTGCAACCTCCAACCACCACGAGGCGAGGTGGAGCGGGCGCGCACTTGGGCTCAAGCGTCCCTCCCTCCCTCTCTCGGAGGACTGGGTCTAACCGACCCCGCAATTGAGGGACACCCAGCCTACCTCACCAGCCTCACCCAAGCCCAGGGCCTCTTGGCTGCCCTCCCAGCAGCGTCAGGAGGGCCCCTGGCTGATGCTGTCCGGCACCTCACGCCACCTTTCACCAGCCCCACCCACTTGCATTCCTGGCTGGCGAAGTGTGAAACGGCGATGCCCCCACGAGCCCGGGAGCTCCTGCACTCCGAGAGGAGGGAACCCTCAGGCTCCCCTCTCCAACACCGCTTATCCCTCGAAGTCCAGGCCGTGCGATACGCCGACCTGGTGGCAGCCACGTGGACAATGGACCCAAACCCACACTCCGGGCACACCCAACGCCTCTTCTCCCTGGCTGGATATGGAGCAGGGGACTGGCTTCATGCCATCCCCATCTTCCCATCCCTCCGCCTCGAAGCCCCACACTTCGCCATTGCCCTGGCCTTCCGCCTCGGCCTTCCTTTCCCAGCCCCCCGCACTTGCAACTGCCCCGAGGAATTCGAAATCCTCGACACTAGGCTGCCCAACCACCTGCTCCGGTGTGGCACCGGGCACGGACGGACTGACACCCATAATGCCCTGCGGGACGAGAGCATACGGATGGCCCGAGACGCTGACTTTATAGTCACCAAGGAGACCACCATCTACAGCCCCGTCGACGGCCACAAGGCCGACCTCGCCCTCCGAGACCGCAGCTCCGGAGCCGTCTGGATCTGTGACGTCACCGTCACAGATCCCATCAGCAGCCGGGATCCGGACGCAAGAAAAGGACGCGGATACATGGCCCGGGAGCAAGCTGACAAGAAAATCTCCCATTACCGAAATCGGGCTCCCTACGTCGGTTTCTTCCCACTGGCAGTCGAGACATATGGCTGCCCCTGCGCCGAGGTCCCTGCCTTCTTGAAACTGCTGGCTGACACAGGGGCCAGGAGACTCTTCAATGCAGACCCCAGCTCCTACCAGGCAGCGAAACTGCTCCACCAGTTTCGCCAACGCTGGTCCGTGACGCTGCAGCGGGCACAGGCCTTGGCTTACCTGGGCAAAGTTAATGAAGCCTCCCCCGCCACCCACGCCCCAGTGGGCACCCCCGACGCCGATATGGCTCCAGGGGACTGCTTTGCCATAGCAGAGCCCCTAGGGGAGACCGAGTAGATCCGAGTCCCCACAACATGCACGTACCTTGACTTGCTGCCCCTTGCATGCCTAGCCTGTACCAAAGGTTTTCCAAGCAATAAAAGGACCGCTTGAGAGAGAGAAGTTCCAAGTATAAATGCCTCTCTCCTCCATTCAGTCCCTCATTATTCATTTCCGTTTTGGTGTGTCTCCTTCCCACCAAGGCGTCAGCTCGCGCCGGCGGCCTTCGGCCGCCGACGCTCGCCCCGCGGCCGGCAACAGGGACAGTCCAAGGACAGGATCAACTCTTACACAGTTCCATACAGGCAAGGGAGCAATGACTACGCCTACAATACCCGCCTCATCACATGATGGCGCAACCCTGCTGCCCCAGCCTGCCAACACAGCCGTGCGCACCTCGGCGACCTCTACTAGGCTCGAGCAGCGTGAGCCACGGCCTGACGCACCGCCCGCAGCGTCGCCACACAGCCGCCGACCAGGGCGAGCGCCTGATCTTCATCAAGCGCCTGCGCTAGCTCCTCAGCGGCACGAGGAGCCACATCAGCCCTTCGGCCACCCCGATCCGCCGACGTCGGCAGATATTCCGCGGCCCGGCGGATCCGCCCCACCGCCTCCAGGGCCCGCGCACGCTGCCGGCGGGACAGAACAGGCTCCTGGGCATCCAGAGGCCACCGCCCCACCGCCTGCCACAGGCACTCAAGGACATCCGCCAGAGAGCCCAGGATTATGTAGCCTCGGAATCAGAGGTCTCAGCGGGGGAGGAAAGTTCGAACCATGCCTCGGAGGACGAGGCAAACCACATGCGCCGCCCACGCAGGCGAGGACAACAGCGGGAAACTATCACCTCGCCAGATCTCGCCGAAGAATCAGGGCCAGCGCAACCCCGCCCGGTGGACGAGATGGCCCAAGATGAGGTGGTGTGGCGAATGGTAACGGAGTGGGACCTGTCGCCACTCCAAGACTCCAGGCAGCCCTTCTTGGTCAGTCATCTCCCACCAAAAATCCTGGAACAGTTCGCCGAATGTTTGCTGATTCCCCTCCAGCGCATCAAAGTAGACCCTAAATGCCTGGGGGGATGGCGAATTCTGACTTTCCTTCCTCGATTGACACTCAGACCTGCGCTAGCCAATGAAAAACGCTGGGCGAGCATCTGCCAACGCCTCCACAATTTCCAAGCAGGCGATTGGACGCCACTGTACCAGGCCAGCGTCGATGCAATTTCGGCAGATCGTCCAGGCCGACACCAGCCCGACCCTGCAGGCATGTGCTCCAGAGCAGAGAGCCTGGTTCGCAAGTCCAATCTACAAAAGGCGGTGGCGTCGTTACACCCTTCGCCCACGTCGCCACCCACAGCCGCAACTCTCGCGGAGCTACGGCAGAAACACCCACCGTGCGAAGCAGAAATCCCTGCCCAGCTCCTCGCTTCGCCAGCCAATAATTTGGCCATTGACCGAGAGGACTTCAGGCGTTTATTGGCGAAATGCCCACATGGTGTGGGAGCGGGCCCCTCAGGCAGCTGCTTCGAACACATTCGTGACTCTGATCTCACGAATCCCCACGTGTTCACACTGCTACTGGAGGCAGTGAATCTCACACTAAGCAACACACTAGCGTCAGATTTGCGCGGCGTCCTACTGCCCTGCAAGCTGATTGCACTCGCCAAACCAGGCGGAGGAGTACGGCCGATAGCCATTGGGGAAAGTTTCGTCCGCCTGGTTGCCAAAGCTGCACTGCATGTGCTGGCCGCGGAAACTCGAGGCTTTTTTCTGCCACACCAGTTTGGCGTGGGCGTATCAGGAGGCGCCAAGTGCATCATCCACTTGGTGCGCCTCTTACTCCAGGCCCATCCCACACACGTCGCCCTGCAACTGGACATGGAAAACGCATTCAACAGCATCCTCCGGCCCTCATTCCTGCGAGTCCTCAGCTGGAGCGGCCTCCACAAACTCATGCCGCTAGCACTCACATTATACGGCGAACCAGCCCCGCTGCTCCTTGACGCCGCCTTCACCTCGGACCCCATCATCAGCAGCAGAGGGGTTCGGCAAGGCGACCCGCTGGGCCCACTGCTCCTCGCGGCAGCTATCCAGCCGACCCTTACCAAAGTGGCGACACGTTTCCCGGAGGTGGCTATCCTCGCATATGCCGACGACGTGACGGTCGTTGGCCCGCCGTCCGCTGCAGCAGCCGCCTTTCGCCTGCTGGGTGAGGAGCTCCAGGGGGTCGGGCTCAAATGTCACCTCACCAAGTGCGCAGGCTGGTCCCCGGAGCTGGCAAGCTTGGCCCAGCTGCCCGGCGACATCCCCCGGGCCGAGGAGGGCCTGCAAGTTCTGGGAAGCCCGGTCGGATCCCAGGAGTTCTGCAGAAACTTCCTGAGACACGAACTCCAGGAGGCCGCAATCCCACTGCCCCTGCTCGCGGACATGCACCCACAGCACTCGTTACTCCTCCTCTCCCGCTGCGTCGGCCGACGTGCGACTTTCCTGCTACGCTCAATGCCAGCCGACGCCCTCCCCTTCGACGAGTGGCGCTCATGGAGCGAACAACTGCTCCAAACCGCCCTCCGTGCCTCACGCATCCCAGCCCCCCGCAACGAGCTGGTGTGGAGCCTGACGTGGCGGCAGGCCACGCTCCCCATCGCCCTAGGGGGTTTAGCGCTGATCGACCCAACCACCGAGGCGCCAGCCGCCTACCTCGCATCCACGCTGGCTGCAACCCGCCTCCTCTCTGCCCTCCCCCTCCCCGACGGCCTGCTGCGCAGCACGGTGCCACTCCTGGAGGCTTGGGGGGAGGGAACGCTGCAACTGCACGCTCATATGCGGGACATGGAGGCCCGCCTCACCGAGGACGCCAAACACACCCTCGGCGAAGCACGGACAGCACCTCCCAAGGGGCCGCTACAGCACCGGCTCTCCCATGCCATCAACGCCCAACGGGCCGAGGAGCTGTTTGCCGACACACTCCTCGACCGACCAGGCTTTGAAAACGGCCATGGCACCCGACTCACCAGCCTCAGAGGGACGGGAGCGGGAGACTGGCTGCTGGCCATCCCCACGCGACCGGACCTCTCCCTCAGCACCGGCCAGTTCGGAACCGCCCTCGCCTTCCGCCTCGGCCTGCCGCTCCCCATCCCCAGCGGGTGCTCATGCGGCGAACACATACCCAACCCGAGCCTGCCAAACCACCTACTCCGTTGCAAGCCCGGGGGGGATGTCAAGCGCCTGCATGACGCCCTTGTATACGCCGCTCTCCGCATGGCCCGGGAGGCGAAATTCATGACCTACCATGAGACGGTCCGCTACACCACCCCCACCAATCGAAAGAGGGCCGACCTGGCCGTACGGGATGTGGAAAGTGGAGCCACTTGGGTGACGGACGCGACTGTCACGGACCCGGTTCTGCAACGGCGCGATCAGGACGCTGGCGGCCAGCCTGGCTGGGCAGCCCGCGAGGCAGCCCGGGCCAAGGACCGTGTCTACGAGGACCGGCCCGACTATGTTGGTTTTTTCGCTCTCGCCGTAGAGACCTACGGGGCGCTGGCCCCGTCCACCGTCGAGTTCTTCCGCCTATTGGCTGAGCACTCGGCGTTGGTTCGGTTCCGCGCTAACCCCCTGTCAACCCCAGCCAAGAAGCTTACCTCTCACTTCCGACAGCGGTGGTCGGTGCTGCTGCAACGCATACAGGCATGCACCCTCATCTCCCGGTCCGGGATGGCGGTAGAGGCGGCCTACCCCCAACCTTTGGCCGACCCTTGGGCGCCCTACCTAGGAGATGTCTACGCGACCCTAGATGAGGAGGTGGCGGTCTAGCCGCAGGGGGGGGGGGGGGGGAATGAAGGGGGGGGCTCGGCCGGCGGCGGCTGTAGGCCATCGGGCTCTTAGGGGCATGAGGGCAATCTTCGCGTACGTGGCCTATTTGCTTGCTGTCTGTTTGGAGTTCGTCGCTGTACCCTTGCTTACTCGTCACGGTTGCTTGTACCCAGGTTGATTCAATGTCCAGGACCGCTTGAGAGAGAGCGAGAGAGGCGGCAGACCATGTGAGGAACATGATGGGGGAGGTATGATGAGCGAAGCAAATGGAATATCGGCTTGCGATGGCTGTCTTGTCCCTCTCTGAGATGACCCTGATATTGATTGCCTCTCAAAGCGACTCACTCCAAAAATGACTGACTCTGAATCTGCTGCCACTAGAAGATTTCACGTATGAATGATAGTCCGTGCATCCTGTGTTCCTTGTCTCTCGAGAGTCCCATGCCTCTCCACACATCCGTCCCTTGCATGGCCCATTCTACCTGCCCTCACCTGCCCATTGTCTCCGCATGCCTCGCGGTGCTTCCCTCTTCCCCCTGTTGGGCTCCCTGTTGGGCTCCCGTTGGGCTCCCTGTTGGGCTCCCTGTTGGGCTCCCTGTTGGGCTCCCTGTTGGGCTCCCGTTGGGCTTGTGTGTGTGCGCCCCTTTGCAGGAGCTGGCCGGACTGAGCTGCGCCTGCGCTATCTTCCAGGTGACGCATGGGGGAAGCAGGCGTGGTGCATTGATGCATGGTGCAAGGTCACACACACACGTGTAGATGCACATGCACAGGCATCCACACACACACACATGTGCACGCATGAGTGTGCACACAAGCACAGACACTCACTCACGCACATGCACGCATGGTCATGCACATGCACATGGATGCATGTCACATCACATGCCTACCTCCCCTCATGTACCCTTGCGTTACCTCTACTTCCCCTCCTAAATCCATCCCATTCTCCCCGCCTCATCTCCCCCATTCCCCCACCCCAACCAGGAGTACCCCCCCTCGCTCTTCCCGTCGGTGCTGGTCATCTGTGGCCCGGGCAACAATGGCGGGGACGGGCTCGTGGCCGCCCGCCACCTCTTCCACTTTGGCTACCGGCCTACCGTCTGCTACCCCAAGAGGACGCCCAAGCCCCTGTACGAGGGGCTAGTCACTCAGGTAAGCTATTGCTTGAAGTGACAAGGCACGTAGCCTGGCACGTGCTGCTGCTTCGTCTGCTTGTGTTTGGGATTGGGATTCTTTAGGTGCCTCACACACACAATGGGTCTCGTGCGTCGAGGCGCCTCAAGAATGATTGGCTGGTGGCACTGGCAGCCAAGCAAATCCGTACGAGGTGCTAGTCACTCAGGTGTGTGTCTGGGGTGGGGTTGGGGGGAGGGAAAGGGAATGCATGGGAGAGAAGGGCGGCGGCAAGAATTCCATAAGGGATAAAGATCGCGTAAGAAGAAGAGAGTGCGTGTGGCAAGGCTTGTCTCGAGTGTCTGTCTCGCCACCGACCAATTTTCAACCCTCCGCTTTTGCCTCTGCTACCTGCGTTCCTGCCTCTGCGCAGGTGGAGTCCCTGGGAGTGCCGTTCCTCTCCCCCGACCACCTGCCGTCGCCCCTGGGCCCATCCTTCTCCCTCGTCGTCGATGCCATCTTCGGCTTCTCCTTCAAAGGTTGTGCGGCTCTCAGGCATGGTTAGGTTCGGTCAGGCGTGGTAAGGCAACTGCAGCAGGCACTCGAGAACCTGTGTGTGCATGAAACTGCACTGTGCGTGCACACTCAGGCGTGGTCCTACCTGCCTACCTATGCACGCTTGCATGCTCTCCTCCTCCGCTGCTGTTCTGTGTTTGCTAGTGCTCTTTCCACAGTTCCAGGCTCTGTCCCGCGCTCCATGCCCCATGCCCCATGCGCCATGCCCCATGCGCCATGCCCCATGCCCCATGCGCCATGCGCCATGCTCCATGCCCCACGCCCCATGCGCCATGCCCCATGCGCCATGCGCCATGCCCCATGCCCCATGCCCCATGCGCCATGCCCCATGCGCCATGCCCCATGCGCCATGCGCCATGCCTCATGCGCCATGCCCCATGCGCCATGCGCCATGCGCCATGCCTCATGCGCCATGCCCCATGCGCCATGCCCCATGCCCCATGCGCCATGCGCCATGCTCCATGCCCCACGCCCCATGCGCCATGCCCCATGCGCCATGCGCCATGCCCCATGCCCCATGCCCCATGCGCCATGCCCCATGCGCCATGCCCCATGCGCCATGCGCCATGCCTCATGCGCCATGCCCCATGCGCCATGCGCCATGCGCCATGCCTCATGCGCCATGCCCCATGCGCCATGCCCCATGCCCCATGCGCCATGCCCCATGCGCCATGCCCAATGCACCATGCTCCATGCGCCATGCCCCATGCGCCATGCCCAATGTCCCATGCCCCATGCGCCATGCGCCATGCCCCATGCGCCATGCCCCATGCCCCATGCGCCATGCGCCATGCCCCATGCCCCATGCGCCATGCCCCATGCGCCATGCCCTATGTGCCATGCCCCATGCGCCATACCCCATGCCCCATGCGCCATGCGCCATGCGCCATGCCCCATGCCCCATGCGCCATGCGCCATGCCCCATGCGCCATGCCCCATGCGCCATGCCTCATGCGCCATGCCCCATGCGCCATGCCCCATGCTCCATGCGCCATGCCCTATGCTCCATGCCCCATGCCCCATGCCCCATGCCCTATGCACCATGCGCCATGCCCCATGCCCTATGCGCCAAGGCCGATGCCCCATGCCCCATGCGCCATGCCCCATGCCCCATGCCCCATTGCCCATGCCCCATGCACCCTGCTCCCGTCACCCCGTTAATCATTCGAGTCTTTTTGTATGGAGCTCAATACTCATCTAGACATCTCTTCGCCATCTTCCCTCCCCTTCCTCCCCTCAGGCTCCCCCCGGCCCCCTTTTGACTCCATCCTGGCCAGTCTCATTGCGCCACCTGGCAGCACGGCAGAGGCTGCAGGCATCCCCCCTATAGTGTCCATCGATATTCCCTCAGGGTGGGACGTGGAGCAAGGGGATATGGCTGGAACAGGCCTGAAGCCAGACATGCTGGTACGGTGAGGGAGGGCTGACTGTGTTAAGCAAAACTTTCACTTACCTATTATCTTGCGGGTGTAATGACACCCACAAGTATACATACTAGTATGCATAGATAGGGTGCTTTTGATAGGCGTGATTCATAAATTTGTACCGATATTCCCACTTGTGTTGTGAGTCCGCTAGTCTCCCGTCCCCTCGCTTCCCCTCCCTGTTTCTACTTCTTTCCTTACCATCACTGCTTTCCCCATTCCCTTCCCTCCTTCCCTTTGCTTCTCCTCCTTACTTCCCCCTGCTTCTCATCCTTCGCTTTTCCCTCTCCCCTCAACCATAGATCCCCCTCGCAGCACCCAAGCACTGTCCCGTCTCATACACCAACCGCCATCCTTCCTCTTCCCCTTCCCCAAATTCCTCCCCATCCCTCTCCTTTCCCCATCCCTCTCCCTTCCCCATCCCTCTCCTCATCCCTCTCCCTCTCCCCCTCCCCGTCCCGCTCCCCTCGCGCACAGATTTCCCTCACAGCACCCAAGCGCTGTGCCCTCTCCTTCGCCGGCCGCCACCACTACCTGGGCGGCCGCTTCGTCCCGCCCGCCATCCGCACGCGCTACAATCTGCGCCTGCCGCCCTTCCCCGGCACCGAGCAGTGTGTGCGCATAGGGGGGGGAGCCGGGCGTGCAGAGGGAGGAGGCTCCGATGCTGCAGGTGGGAAGGCAGCGAGTGACGGGGCAGGAGGGGCTGGGGCGGAGAGAGGGGCAGGTGGGAGCAGTGGAGGTGGGAGCGGTTGTGGTGGTGGTGGTGGTAGCAGTGGTGGTACAGCAGCGACAGTAGATGTGGCGTCGTTGCGGCGGGAGTACTCGGGGAGGGCTCTACTGGAGAAGGAAGTTCAGCCTGATCCTATCGCTCAGGTACCCATTTCTAATGCTATTGCCCTTGTCTTGCCCTCCTCTCATTCATTCAGGTGTCTCGGGACCGCCTTGCCGCCGTGTGCTCCTAGGGCCACCCCATTATCTGGCTAACTCACACCCCTGCTGGTCTTCTTTTCTGCTGCTCATCTCTCCCAACCCCCCCCCCCCTCCCCATGCCCCATGTGTTGAGTACTTGTTTCCATATCCTTCCACCCTCCCCCAACTCTCGCCTCCCCCCCCATTCTCTCGCTCTCTCTGTGCGAGCATCAGTTCCAGGCATGGTTCAGCGAGGCGCTAGCGGCCAGTGTGCCCGAGCCCAACGCCATGACGCTCTGCACCGTGGACGAAGGAGGGAAGCCGTAAGCTGGGAGGAAGAGGGGGGGAGAGGAATGGGGGAGGATGGGAAGTGGAGTGTAGTGGAGGTGGTGGTGGGGTGGTGGGGGGGTTTTGAATGCTGATTGCACATGCTTGCAGCTAGTGTGTGGCAGATAGTTTATGCATATGCACGTGCACATTGATAAGCATGCATAGTTTATGCATATGCACGTGCACATTGAGAAGCATGCATAGTTTATGCATATGCACGTGCACATTGATAAGCATGCATAGTTTATGCATATGCACGTGCACATTGATAAGCATGCTTCGTTAACAGCATTGTCCAAAAGGGTAAGTTTGTGTTGTGCGAAATACGAGCATTTGCGTCTGTATTCTTTCAATTGTGTAAATCATGTTTTTCGCATCCTCTTCTGGTGAGCCGTAGGTTGATGGAGAGGCTTTGAATTGCGATAATAGTATGTCTGGTTCTGGCATGTGGTTAGCCAAGACGTTTCATGACAGGAGGACAAATGTGGAGATCACGGAGCCAGAGGAAACGCTATGGGCGGGAAAAAGAAGGTCTTTGCATCCAGAGGTGCAAAACGCCAAGAAAAACGCCAGAGGGCGGAATGCCCTTAGTTTCGTTCGCCTCTAGCTCTTTCTCCCCTTCCTTGTTCTCCACATTCGCCCTGTCATGAAACGCCTGGGATAATCGTACGCCACGAGTGATACTTCTATAGAATCTGTAGAGGCGACCAGTGTGTGCATTGTGTGTGCATTGTGTGTGCATGCTTGTGTGTGCATGCTTGTGTGTGCACCCAACCACTCCTCCCCACCCAACCACTCCTCCCCACCCAACCACTCCTCCCCACCCACCCACTCCTCCCCACCCACCCACTCCTCCCCACCCACCCACTCCTCCCCACCCACCCACTCCTCCCCACCCACCCACTCCTCCCCACCCACCCACTCCTCCCCACCCACCCACTCCTCCCCACCCAACCACTCCTCCCCACCCAACCACTCCTCCCCACCCAACCACTCCTCCCCACCCACTTTTCTTCCCCTTCACCCTCCTCCCTCGTCCGCTCCCCTTCGCCCTCCTCTGCACCTCAGTTCAGCGCGCATCGTGCTACTAAAGGGGGCGGACGCGGCAGGTTTTGTCTTCTTCACAAACTACAGCAGCCGCAAGGGGCAGGAGCTGCTGTGCCAGCCTGGCACGCCACCCCCTCAGGCCGCCCTTGTCTTCTATTGGGAATCCCTGCACCGCCAGGTGAGGACGGAAAGAGGGAATAGGAGGGAGGGTGGGGGCTAGGAGGGATGGGGGGGGGGGGAGTAGGGATGAGAGGAGGAGGGCACGCGTGAACCTCCCATCCCTCCCCCCCAGGCCTCCCTTGGCTTTTTACTGGGAATCACTGCACCAACAGGTTGGACTTGCAGCCTGTGCTGGCAGATTGGGCACGTTTAGGGGGAAGATCCTTGGACATTATTATTCCGGCGAGCACTGTGGTGGGAGTCGAGTCGGTTTGAGCGAGTAGGAAAAAACAGTGTAAATCAGTTGAGCTATTAGCAAAGTGTTCTCGGAATGAGGAACTCTTAGCAGTGAGTCGAACACGGGACAGCAGGTAGCCAGTGGGTCTTGTAGCCTGTGCTAGCAGGTTGGGCAAGTGGAGGGGGAAGATGGGAGAGACAGGGGAGATGGGGGACAGGGGGGACAGGGGGGACAGGGGAGACAGGGGAGACAGGGGGGACAGGGGGGACATAGGAGACATGGGGGAGGGGGATGAGGGGAACAAATATGGAAGAGCGAGATTGGAGACTGTGGCTTCGCTGCTCTGTAGACGAGGAGGGGCGAAGGGCAGACATGTAGCTTCCCTGTTCCGCACCCCTGCCCGGTGCGTCTCCCTTCCATGTAGCAACATCTGACCCCCCCGCCCTCTATGTCTCTTCCCCTGTGTGTTGGTGCGAGAAGAGGGTGCAGTGGGAAGCGTTCCAATCTTGGAGCTAGTCGCCAACTTCCATGACTAGTCAAAAACCGACTTTTGAGGCGCCTCAAAAGTCGTCTACTTTTATGCCAGCCCAGGCCAAACAAATTGGTGCTTATGGAAAATCTCAGCCTCCGGTCTCTGTATCCCCCTATCCCCCTATCGGCCTCCACCCCTCTCTCCGTAACCCCTCTCTTTGGCTCGCTACGCACCAGGTGAGGGCGGGGGGTGCAGTGGAGAGAATCGCAGACTCCGAGCCACACGCATTCTTCCACTCAACACCTCGCTTCTTATGCCCTCTCTTTGGCTTACTACCCACCAGGTGCGGGTGGAGCCTGGAGGGAGCGTAGTTGTGGAGAGAATCCCCAGCTCCGAGTCGGACGCATACTTCCGTTCTAGGCCCAAAGGCAGCCAGATTACTGCTCTTCAGGCTATCCGCCCCAGCATGAGGAGTCTATTTTTAAGGCGCCTCAAAAATAGACTCTTCAGGCTATCCGCCCCAGCACCTCGCTCCTTATGCTCTATCTTGTCCTCAACTCCCTCCAGGTGCGGGTGGAGGGAGCGGTGGAGAGAATCCCCGACTCCGAGTCAGACGCATACTTCCACTCGCGGCCCAGGGGCAGCCAGATCAGCGCCCTGGCCAGTGAACAGGTGGGTGTTGCGTTGCGACACAGGGGGATAGGGGGTGCAATAGATGGGATGGATGGGATGAATTGAGAATGGGATGGGATGGGGATGGAATGGGATGGGGATGGGATGGGATAGGAGGAAAAGCGGCAGCACAAGGTAGAGAGCGGACGGTATTATGCAGCTCCATGTGGATGGGGGTCAATTGGGTGGCTGCAGTCTACCATAATGCGAATGGCTTGGTTGGTGTGCCAACATGCAGCTTGCATAGCATGGCACCGCTGGCCAAAACGCAGAGAACGGTGGCAATGCATGCTGCATGCTGCATGGTGCATGATGGCACATCATGGCCAGGTCAGTCAACTGTATGTCCTAGCCAAAACAAAGGCAGACAGGCAAGGCACAGAGGGCTTTTCCGACAGTGACTTAAGCATCGTCTCCAGGGTACCAGCGTGAGGTATTCAAGCAACTGTGCATATTTCGCACACTGCTGGTGAGACAGACATGGGTTGCTGCTGCGTAACGTGACTCATTACGCGTTGCCTCAGATATTTGGCCTAATCTCACGGTTTGGTTCCCACTATTACTCCACCATGGTCATCATGCTTCGTCACATCACTTCCTTTCTCACTGCACAGCAATTACTCCTCTCAAGTCCATATATTCCGTTTGAGAGACCATGTTCATCAGATGCATAGGCATACACTGCATACTCTTGCGCCCTCCCGTTTTGCTATAGAATTGCTTTTTTTTTAGATTTTTACAAAATCCGCTCCTCGTCCTTCCCTCGCCCTTCCCCTTCCCTCATCTCTCCCCCTCCCCCCCCTCCCCCCTTTTTGCCCCCCCACACCTCTCTCTCCCATCATCACCTCCCCTCCCGCCCTCCCCCTCTCTCCATCACAGAGCGCAGTGATTGCCAGTCGGGAGCAGCTAGAAGATGCATATAGTGCACTGCAGAAGCAGTATGGCGACAGGTGAGGCAGTATGGCGACAGGTGATGCAGACCAATGCAATTTTTCCAGGCCATTTGTTTAAAGCGAGGATCTCAAGAAGCACGAAACCAAATCCAAAAGGTTTGGAATCAGGTTGGCGAAATAAGCGAAACAGTAACACCGGCCCCCCAACACCAGGGGCTTACTTTTGGTTTTTAATCACCCTTAAAAAATCGGGCTCCTTGAAAGTTTACCCTTAATTTTCAGGGTCCAACGGAAGGCAATCCTTAATCATTAGGGTTCGTTTGCACAGTACCCTTTTCACTGCCACGGTTAGAATCTACCAGGAGATGTATGGACAAGACGAAAAGGGCGTAAGTAACGTGCACGGGGCTGTGAGGGGAGAATGACGAAAATCCACTAAGTGAGTTGTCTCCCCTCTATTTGTGACAACGAGGTGTGAGTAACGTGCTGTGAGGGGAGAAGAACGAAAATCTACTAAGGGAGTTGTCTCCCCTCTGTTGGTAACTATGAGGTGTGAGTAACGTGCTGTGAGGGGAGAAGAACGAAAATATACTAAGGGAGTTGTCTCTCCTCTGTTGGTGACTACAAGGTGTGAGTAACGTGCTGTGAGGGGAGAACAACGAAAATCTTCTAAGGGAGTTGTTCCTCTTAAGGAGATCCCTCCTGTAGCCCTACCAGCACTAGTAGTACACTCAGGGTAGGAAACAAATATACCCTTAATCTCAAGGGTTACACTCTTCATAAACCCTTAATCCCCCGGGTTCATAAAAATACAACCCTTAATTTGTGGGGCCAGCTGAAAAACTACCCTTTATTTGACTCGAATTCAGGGCAACAACCCTTGAAAAATAGGCCCTCACCCCTCGCTTCACCTCGCAATTTTCGTGACCCCCCGAAACCAAAACCTTTGGGTTTGGTTTTCTGCTTCTTGAGATCCTCGCTTTAAAGCGCGGATCTTGAAACCCCCCAACTCAGAAACTTAGGTTTTGAGTCGGGGGGCATTTTGGCTGGGGCTCAGACACTTTGGTATTGACTTCAGGGGGTTTTGAGATCCTCGTTTTGAAATCTCGAGGCAGCAGCACCCAGGCTGCCATGCTGACTACGTTGACGAAGCATGGCATGCGATACGAGCCAGGTTTAATCTGTAGAGAGCACAGTGCATTCACACCACCAATGCCATGCGCTCTAGGTTCTGCATCTGACCAATGTCAGGGGATACGGTCAGCAGGTTGGTTAGGGTGTTGGACAAAAGGTCGTTTTCTCTGCATATCCTTACTAATTGCACCCACCAAGCTCTCCGTCTCTACTCCTCTGTTTCCCTCTTCGCTCGTACCCTCATGCTCCTCCTCGCACACTCTCTTCCTCTTGTGCAGCGCGCCGATCCCCCGGCCAGAGCACTGGGGCGGGTTCAGGGTGGTGCCGCGTGCCATGGAGTTCTGGCAGGGCAGGGAGTCACGCCTGCACGACAGGTACCATGCACATGCAGGCATACACATTCACATGCCCTTGCACAGCCACGTCAAGAATCTCACTTCCGAACGTGGCTACGCACTTGTGCCCATGCACATACACGCATGCACATACATACGTATGCATGGACATTCACATCAACGTTCCGCGCATGCACAACTGAAGGCATGGTTGCACTTGAAATACACTTGGTTCACTTACGGTACCCTGTCAGCCTGTGGGTTTGAATGTCACGAGCAGTTCTGATTTAAATCGAAGCCCAACATTTCACCACTCCTAAAAAAAACACCCTGTAATTCACATGTGCAATTCCCAACCAAGCTTTGACACGAACTTTATCACGAAGGAGCACTGCTGTTGTTTTCTTCTGCGTTTGTCCATCCCACTACCGTGTTGCAGGCTGCGCTACAGGAAAGATGTCAATGGCAATTGGGTGATAGAAAGACTAGCTCCCTAAGTAGCAGGGGAGTAAAACACTGCAGGTATCTGGCAGGCAGAACCAGAGCGCTGTTTGCCTGCCCACAATGGTGGGATTTTATTAGCCCTCACTCCTCCTGTATGTCGATTGATGTGGTTTATGATGGCTGATGTGTAGCACAGCATGATATTAGGCTCATGTAGGGAGACGGGTGTTCAACTGAAAGAATATTTAGAACAAGGCATACAAGGGAATATAACCTAATGGGTTGCACTCCCTAAGGCACACTCCAATATAGTGTACAGAAACATACAATATATGTTTGACACCCCCTAGACTGGATAGGGGCAGTGCCCGATGAGAGAGAAACATCTCAGGGTGACACTACTAGTTCAGCCTCTAAGGCAGGGGTCTAAAGACCAGTCAAACAAGTACATACAAGGCAAGAGCAAGACCAGGGTGGCACTATTAGTCCAACCACTGGGAAGATGCCACAAGGCCAGTCAGGGTATTATATATAAAGGTCTGTACACAATCAAGGTCCTAGCAAGTGAGAGGCTACAGGAACGAGACCTAGCTGTACACAGTGCCGCTGATGATCTTTAGGCGCAACCGCCTTAGAAAAGATATCAATTGAGAAAGCTTGCTTTCTTGTCCTTTGCAATAGGCATCGTTCTCATTTCAAGTGGCATGGTACAATAGTCGCTTACTACCTTATAAGAATCTAAACATACACGCATCATGATCCTAGTTGTGTGCTCCCGTTCAAGTGACCGGCTGTCCATTGGAGATGGGCGGTTGTCTAGAGGGGGGGGTGGGTGGGTAACAAACAGTGAAATTGATGAATAGAGAGAGAGAGTACACAAACATATACCTAAATGTTGTACTCTCTAGAAGATAACCCTATACAGTCTATACAAGCATGATAACTAAACATGTTTGACACACCCCCTGGACTGCATAGGGGAATGTTCTAGACAAGCAGCTCAGGGTGGCACTACTAGTCCAGCCTCTGAGACAAGGGTCTAAAAGACCAGTCAGAAGGAGTACAGGCAAGGCAAGAACTAGTACAGGGCGGCACTACTAGTCCAACCAATGTAAGAGGACACAAGTCCAGTCTGAGTGTACACACAGATATATAGGACAGTACAGAGTCAAGGCCCGAGTAAGTGAGAGACTACAGGAACCAGACCAAGCTGCACACAGTGCCGCTGATGATCTTTAGGCGCAAGCGCCTTCGTAAAGATATCAGCTGTGTTGGCACCGGAGGCTAAGTGTACTACGCGAGCCTGGCGACGCTGCTGTAGCTCACGCAGGAGGAAGTACCGCAGCTGGATGTGCTTCGCTCTGCCCTCGAGTCGAGGCTCCTGACACAGGAGGATCATGGCCCTGTTGTCAGCGTACAGGACCGGGGCAGAGCTAGGCCGCTCACCTAAGTCAGTGAGCAAGAAGGTCAACCAGCGGAGCTCCTGTGCCGCCATGGCACCGGCGTAGATCTCGGCCTCACAGCTGGACTGGGCAACAGACGAAGAGCGGGTAGCTCTCCACGAGACAGCACCTGAACCAAGGCTAAAGCAGTAGCCCTGGGAAGACCTGAGCGTCTCGGCGTCGTCTGCCCAAGAAGCGTCTGTGTGTCCAGTAAGGACCACTGGCCTGCGTCCGCCTAGCACTAACCCCATGCCCGATGTACTTGCAAGATAACGCAAAACCCTCTTAGCGGCAGACCAGTGCTGAGGTCGGTGCCTGCCTGTGGCCACGAAACGAGCCAGGATGCTGAGAGGGTATGCGAGATCTGGGCGAGTGCAAGTCATCAGGTACATGAGGCAACCCACTAGCTCAGCGTAAGGACCACTGGGATCTACCGACTCCTCAGGAACTGGAGCGGAGAGTCTGTGGTCCAGAGGAAGAGGGGTGGGCTGTGCGGAGGAGAACTGAAGGCCGAACCTCTGAAGGACCTGGCGCACCAAGTGTGACTGAGTCAGGGTGATGGTGCGCGCGGCTCTGTCCCTGGAGATCTGCAAGCCAAGGTAACGGCGCAGCTCTCCAAGGTCAGTGCAGGTGTGTCTCTTCAGCAGCTCTGCCTTCACGGAGGCCAGTGCGTCCCTGTCAGCAGTGGCAAAGACCAGGTCGTCTACGTAGACGAGGATGTAGAACGGAGTCGAGCCAGCACGAACGAAGAGCGAGGGGTCTGCAGAGGACGGAAAGAACTGCAGGTCAGCAAGGGTAGCACGCAAAGTGTCGTGCCACTCACGAGGCGCCTGGCGCAGGCCGTAGACTGGCCGCCGCAGAAGCCACTGGGTCCCAGGGGGGAAGGTGCCAGTAAAGCCCTGAGGGCGACGCAGGTAGACCTGCTCGTGAAGGCTGCCCTGAAGAAAGGCAGTGGAGAAGTCGAGGGAGTGAAGCTCGTAGTCACGCTGAGCCGCTACGTGTAGCAGCACCCGAAGAGTAGTCATCTTCGGGGTAGGAGCGAAAGTCTGAAAGAAGTCCACCCCCTCGCGCTGACTGAAGCCTCTAGCCACGTAGCGCGCCTTGAACACAGGCGGCTCTCCAGGAGGGCGCTTCACCTTGAAGAGCCAACGGCCATCGACCACGTTCACCCCAGGTGGGGGAACTGCGTCGACGAAGGTGCCGGTGGATCTCCAAGATGCCATCTCCTGCTCCATGGCAGCTATCCACTGAGAGGCCCAGGGTCCCGAAACCGCCTCAGCGTAAGTACGAGGGGTCGGGATGTCGAAAGCGTCTGGGTCACCCTCAGGGACTAGCAGCATGGAACAGAGATGGGGAGCAGCCTCGGACAGGAAAGCAAGCTCAAACTGGCGGTCCTCCAGGACGTCACTGCCGAGGGCAGGAGCACCCCCGACAGACGGAGGACAGGCAGGGTGAGAGACCAGAGCGGTGGCGTAGTCAAGGCGGCGGGTAGAGGCGAAGTCAGCGACCGCAGCGACGAGGGCGTCAAGACTCGACACGGGAACAGATGGGTCGGTAACGAGAGAGGCAAGGACCCGAGGAACAAGAGGACGAGCGGCACGAAAGGAGTCGGACAGAGGAGGAGACGCAACGACAAGAGAAGACGGAGGAGGAGACGGGAGGAGGGGAGGTCGAGACGCGTGGGAACGGAGCAACATAGGGTGAGAGCGCGGGACAGGGGAGACAGGACGAGCACGAGAGGGGCGGCGAGACCAGACGTGTGAGGGCGGCGTCGGGTCAGGAGACAGAGGAGGGGACACAGGAGGGGAACGAGGGGGAAGACGAGCCGGGGACGAGTCTGGCAGAGGGAACACGGGGCCGTAGACGGGAAGAGGGGGAGACGGCAGGAGAGGAACAGGCGCAGGGTCAGGAGACGGAAGGCCGAGCAGACGGAGGGCGGACACAGGCGGGGACTGCTGCTGCGGCGACACAACACCAACTCCAGGGCCACAAGCTGCGCGACGGCTACCTCCCGAACCCTCCACACCTGCACCCCCAGAAGGGACACCCCCAGAGTCCACAAACGGCGGCAGCGACGACAGCGGCGGCGGCGGCGGCGGCTGCAGCGACGGCTGCGACGGCGGCGGCGGCGGAGACGACGGCTGCAACGGCGGCGGCGGTGGAGACGACGGCTGCAGCAGCTGCGGCGACGGCGGCTGCGGAGGCGGTGGAGGAGGAGACACCGGGGGAGGGACAGACGGCGAGGACTGCGCCGGAGGACTACCAGAGTCAGAAGACTCGTCGACCGGGACGACCGACGGGAGGGGGGTGACGTGAGACACACCAGAGGGGGCCGGACGGGGGGCGGGGGGGGGAGGGGCAGGGACCACCAGGGAGGGAGGAACCAGGAAAAGGGGGGGAGTAACCAGGGGACCACGGTGGGGAAAGCGGCGGTAGAAGGAGACGGACTCGTCAAAGGTGACGTCGCGAGAGTGAAAGAAGCGGTGAGACGGCGGGTGGTAGAAGTGCCAGTCGGACGCGTCAAGGGGGAAACCGAGGAAGACGCAGGGGAGGGTGCGGGCAGTGAGCTTGTCCGTGCCAGAGGCACGAACATGAGCAAGGCAGCCCCAGACGCGGAACGCAGACGCGTCACCAGGGGACCCGGTCCACAAAAGGGTCGGCGAAACCTGCGGCCGCTGGGGGTGCGGCCACAGGTTAAGCTGGTGAGCGGCGTAGCGCACGGCGAACGGCCACAGAAAATGGGGTGCACCGGCGTGGATCATGGAGGTGCGAGCCACCTCCATGACCAAACCGATGCGTCGCTCAGCGACCCCATTCTGCTGCGGGGAGTCCGGCAGGGTAAACGTCTGGGTGATGCCCTCCGCACGACAGAAGCGACCAAGGACACCTGAGGCAAACTCGCCACCCCGGTCGGAGTGAAGGCGCAAGGCAGGGAGACCGCGGTGGACACGAGCAGAGACAAGCCAGGGGATGAGAACGTCAGGCACGTCGGCCTTCCGCTCCAGGGGGAAGACGGTGGTGTAGCGCGTGAAGTCGTCGACAAGCACTAGGAAGAAGCGCTCGCGACGCGGCCCATGGACCGGGGCTGGGCCCCAGACGTCCATGTGCAGAGTCTGCAGTGGTGCGGTGGTAGGGGGAAAAGAGGAGGAGTGAGGGGCACGGCGGAGCCGGCCCTCGACACAAGGCGTGCACGGTGGGGCGGGGGAGGAGGGAAACTCGGGGAACGAACCGGGGAGACCAAGGACGAGACCGTGCTGGGACATGTGACGCAGACGTGGGAGTGCAGGGTGACCAAGGCGGTGGTGCCAAAGGAGAGTCGGGTGAGTGAGGGACCGACAGGAGCACGCGGCTGCAACCTGGGTGGACGCAACTACCGGGGGGGAAGACCCAGCCGGGGACGGCGCGGTGTCAAGTGTGAACAGGCCGGACACCGGGTCCCGGGGGAAAGTGGTAAGGGGGGCACCAGTGGCGGCCTCGGTACAGACAGCATACCGCTCGTGACCAGGGAACGTAGTGGTGACGCCAAGGTCCTGGAGGCAGCCGACACCAACTAGGTTCCTGGAGAACGAGGGGATATGCAGACCTGTAAGAGTGCCCGAAGGAACCGCCGGACAGGGAAGGGAGGTGGAACTGCGGGCAACGACGGGACCACCGGAGGGGTCAGCAAGAGTAACTGCAGCGGGAACAGGCAGCGGCGTCAGCGTCGTGGAGTCGCGGAAGAAACACCGGGAGGCGCCAGAGTCCAAGGTGAAGGAAAGCGCAGCAGTCGCGCGAGGCAGCAGTGAAGCGGTGGAAGCACCAAGGCTAAGCAAAGCAGGAGATCCTACGCCTGACGCAGCAGGGGAGTCTACGCTAGGCACCGCTACACTAGGCAACACGGGGT